TGCAACATTGTTTAAATTATTTTATAAAATCATCTTCAATCTAGAACAAAACCTTCAAAACAAAATCTAAAGAATTTATTTAACTTGAACCTATGCAAAAGCACTAAGCTAGTTTTCCAATATTTTAGTAGAGGTGTACTTAAAGTATTTGTTGTATACAGAAAAAGACTATAAAGTCATATAAATATACCCAGAACCACATCCCCACATACAATTCAAAACTTATTTAATATTTATTGTGCAAGGGGCTATTCTCAAAGAGTAATATAAAACAGCTTTTCACCACAGTGAACACTAGGTCAAGAATAATAGACAAGCATGAAAATAATTACAATGCAAGAAGGGTGCTTTGACATGGGGTTTTGTGAGAGCACAAAGAAAGAGGTCATCACACCAACGTCTTGCTAAGTGTGTGCCACAATGACAATGACAATGTATATTTATTAATGTTCAAGTGTATAGTTTTCCTGTACCTCTTTCTTCCTTCTAGTTATACAAGTTTGAGTGCTGCTTCTCTCATATTCTTTAAGCCTCAGCCCAAATTAGCCAAACCCTGACCCACCAAGTTTCAAAGCCAGCATTAGTAAAAGGAATTGTCTCTAGATTTTCAGTAGTCAGTAGTAGTAAAAGAGAGGACAAGATGCTGCTGCTATCTGCTTGGCATATTTATAAACTGAGCAACATTTCAGAAGCAGCAAAATTTGCCTGTGGCATCTTCCAGTCTGGGGTTTGCCATATATAGCTGATACTGTATCTGAGATTGTTGATGTCCATCTTCTCAAACGCCAGAAATAAAGAAAGAACAAAAGGAAAAGAATGTAGGGTTCCTATCCTACATTCAGGCAAAATTCAGGTAGCCACAGGGGATATGCAATGTGTAGCTAAAGTTCTAGAAATAATCCCTCTTGAGAGCCTTCCACTTCCTAGGAGAAAGTAGGGAGTCCAGAGAACTTGCATGTCAGCAATCCTACCAGCCCCCAAACAACAGCAGCAATTCTAAGAATCAGAGGTTAAAGCAAAATGGAGTATATACCATATGCTTCAAGGAACCTTCGGTCTCATGGAAGGAAACAAGGGAAACTGAAAGGCACTGCTACCCCAGTTGGGGTTAGGGGGAGTTGAGGCACAGAGGCTTGTAAGTCAGTCCATTAGTACGTCAATAATACATTATTCTATAATCTGAAATTGGACGATTCTGTCTTTCCTGGAGTGGGCTTCCAGATCTTAAACGTAAAGCCAATCCAAACCAGGATATACTGACGAGTCTGCTAGTTCCAAGACAACAGTAGTGCTGCTGCAGCCAAGGATTCCTTGGCATACAAACATGTTAAAATGATATTGGCAGCAGCACTGGCTCTTCTCTTTCACCCTCTGCTGTTACTATAGCTCCTTTTGCTAAATCTGCCTCTGGGTTTAGACAGGAGTTGGATGGTTCATAATCACCCAGCAGCTGCAGCTGAGCAATACTCAGCCTAATTGTGGCTCTGAAGCAGCCGAGAGGAAGAAAAGAGATAATACATACCCTACCATAGCCATACACAAACTGTCGTGCACACTACCAATAAGACATCGAGATACTTTAATAGGAACAGATTATTTCCTTTAAAGAACAGCAGCTGTACCTTGCTAGAGAACTTGTATTTATATCATAAACCTGTTTAAACGTGAACTGAAGGTGACCTAAACCATGCAGGGTTCTGAACAATAGACGATCTTACTAAAACTTCCTGTAAATATTCACACAACAAAGCCAGAGCCACAAACATCACTTTATAACACGACTGACAGTTCCTGTGATATAAGAATTTGGCACAGATGTGATGCCTTCTTCAGCTCTACATTACAACAATGCAAAAGCAACACGAGTAACTAAAACAGCAAGCCATTACCGTAAAGCAAGTAAAACAGCATAAAGCAATGATTCTCTGCATTTCTGAAACTCCAGCACCATACTGTCATTTGTTTTCTTTTGAAACAAAACTTATTCTTCCTTCAGGTGCTATCCATCTTCAGAAAGTTTAAACAAAAACTTATTTTATGCTGAGAATTTCATGACATCCTTAAGAATATAAAAACTAAGGCTGAAATTACTGATATAAAGAATTACTGCTCTAGAAAACTGAAAATGGATAAAAGTCAAGATTTACTACTTTTATGCCATAATTGAGTTTTGAGTTTTAATTGCTATGTTACATAATCTTCTGAAAAACAGGGTATTTGATGACAGAACAGTATCCATTCACTCAACATATTTTGATTACCTATTTGTCACAGCATACAAGCTGAAGAATATTTAAAAGTATTAAAACCTGATGTCTTCCATCAAATTAACATATTAAAGAAAACCAAGTAGAACTTGATGTAAAATTTTCAAAATTCTCTAAGTATTGTACATTTGGAAGCGAGTACGTAACTTTTTCGAGGTAGTTATATATACTAGCTGGTGTATGACAATTATGATTTAGTAAGTGTAATCCTGTTTGCGAAGGACAGCCTAGTCAGTGTTCTAAAGCCAGTCCCCAAATATTAAGTTCTTAATCCAAGCACCTTATACAATACATTACACAGAAACTTCTTAAAAAAAAAGTTTCATGTAAAATAAAACACACATACAGAAAAGCATGTATGGCTTCATGAACTAACACCCCTGCAACCCCCACCAAGTTAAAAGAACTTTGCCACCACTTCAGAAGCCAGGTCCCAATCACAATCTCCTCCCTTATCCCATATTTTTACTTTTACAGAAATCATTTCCTTGCAGGTTTTTAAAAAATAAATAGTTTTATCACCCAAGCTTCCATTCTTAGACACCAGAGCTTAGAATTGCTTTAAAAAGTTTTTTTTTTATATTAGGCTTCTTTCTTAATATAATGCTAACAGAACTAATAAATGATGCCTACACTTAATTTGTAAAGAAAAATTACCCGAAGTCAGGCGGGTGGTGTGTGCCTGTAGTCCTGGCTACTTGGGAGGCCAGAGGATCACTTGAGCCCAGGAGTTCAAGATCAGCCTGGGTGATGGAGTAAGACCCCACCCATCCCCCCCCCAAAAAAAGAAAGAAAAGAAAAATTACTCATAGTAATAAATTATTTACTACCTAAAATGATGCAAATTTGTACTTTGATGAACAAGTCTCACACCACTGGTTGGTAATATTTCGCTTACACTGGGTCATTGCTATTCTTATAGCACATTTATTCTCTTACCATTACATACCACAGAAGAGTTTTATTTGCATAAACATTGATTTTTTTAGCTTGAGAATTTCCTGAACTAAAAAAAAAAACCTGAGACCATATATTAATATTATACTTCAACCGTAAGACAAATTCCACCTATCCCAGGAAGATAGGTCAAAGCTGTAATTTCACTTTCAGTTGAACAGAAAGGAGTCAATTTTGTGGTTTATGAAGTCAGCAAAAACTAACTGCAAAATTAAAGCTATTATAACATTACAGTGGTTACAGCGGGGTAGATATTTTAAGGGCTATTTTATCTTTTATCATGGAAACATGGATAAAAACTGTCTTGAATTTAGATTCGCATCAAAAGCAACCGTCTTTTTCAAATTTATGACCCTCTGAACTGTCAATCTGCGTTTAAAATCTCTACTGAGGTTTAGCTAATGCCCAAAAACTAAAATACAATTTAATTTCCTTTTCTTAAATGTCAACTATGGCAGTAACAGCAGCATATTTGTAAGGAAAAAAAAACCCATATATATGGCTTGGTAAAATAAAACTTTCTTACAGTACAATATATGAAAATCATCTGTGATGCATACAAGATCCTTGGCTTCTAATACAAGACACTCCTTTATTCACTCCTGTCCATTCAAACTGTTTCCTGTTCACTGTGTGCCAAGCATAGTGATAGTTAAGATATTTACCACGTACTTTTCCTTCAATGTACAGTCACATGTATACATTTAATACTAATTTCCTTAGTGTGTAATTTAATTTTAGAAATTTAACAGGATGGTTTAAATACACTTAAAATTACCACGATATCTTTGGCACTATAATCCTACAATTATAATGAGCAAATATACTATTAATGCAATCATATCCTATATATGTGAAATCATCTATGTGAAAACACACACCAGTGGAATAATAAACGTCATAAAGTTATCGTTCTACTAAAGATTTTTCATTATTTACTTTAATAGCTTATAAATTCTTAGACCCTGTGTCATTACATGCCCGTTTCAATTAATTATGCGGGAACTAATTCAACCAAATGAGAATTAAGTTGTGTCCTACTCACTACAAACAAAAACTAAAGCAGTCCCTATATTAGACCCGACTTTCGAAGAGCTGCTTAAAACTCCGCCCACGCCTAATAAAGCAAAAGCTGGAAGCAATTATCAAGAAAAACACACTTTAAACCAAAATTTTCTTTAACACATGTGGACAGAGAACGGAACCAAATGGGAGGCAGAGTGGCATGATACTGTAAAAGTGGACGCTGAATAGTAAATTTCCCAGCCCCCAATCCAAAACAAAGGAAAACTTTAACATGTTGCGGTTTTCAATCAAACCAAGTGAAGCCAGAGGCTCACCCACTCGCCCCATACACCCTCGTCCTCCCAGCACAGCTGCCACCGTCGTCAGCCGACACACAGACCCCCAACCTCTAGGACAGAAGGGGGCCACTTCCCTCGCCCAGGACTTCGGGCTGTAGGGACAAAAATAAGCCTCGCCTCCACCTCACCGGGGGCCCAACTACTTTGAAGACATGGGCGGGGGGGAGTCCCAACGCTCTGAGTACCTCAAGTCGGACTAGGGCGGAGACCGAGTAGGGGGCGAGCAGGTAGCGCGGAGACGGAGACACGCCCGCCGGGCGAGCCGGGCCGGGGGAGGGGAGAAGTTTCTCCCCAACTTCCCGACTCCGGGCTGGACGGGGCGGGGAGCGGCGGCGCCTCCAGGCGCCGGGGCCTAGCGTTGCCCGGGCTGGGGTCGGCCGCCCCCGCCCGCGGGGCCCCACCAGGTCCTTACCTGCCCTCCGGCCGCGCTCGCATGAGTCGCTGCTGCAGCAGCTCGGGCTGGCGGGGAGGGGGCGGCGGGCGGAGGCGAGGCCCGCGGGCCCTCTCCCTCCTCCACCTCCTCGTCCCGGGGCGCCCGGCAGCAGCGGCGACGGCACAGCCGGCCCGGACTCGTTACTTCAGGAGGAGGGAATTCCCGGGCTCCCCACCCATCGGCCGCACTCTCCACCTCCTCTCCTCCCGGCTCCGCCCCTGCACTCCGCGCGGGCGGGAGCTGCGGCTACCTGCGCGCGGCCGCCCGCTCACCGGAACTCGCGCCGCGCCGGCCCGGCTCCCGCGCCCTTCGCTTTCCGGCGCCGGCGCCCCACCGCGTCCCCTCCGCGGGCTCCGGGCTGCCCTGCAGCCGTCCAGGTCGGCGGCCGGTCCGAGTCACTTCTCCCGACCCAACATGGCGGCAGGGGCCGGGGCGGATTCCCGGGGCGGCGCAGGCTGAGGGGCGTGAGGAGGAGGCGCTTCTCCACCCCAAGAGCAGGCCCACGGCGCCGCTGCCCAGCCGCGCCCCCGCAGACCCTCGGCCCGCCCGCCGGGCTGCGCGGGGATTGAATGGGGCGCACCAGGTCCGCCCCTCAGCCTTGCCCAGCTCTCGGTAGCGCCCAGGGCTGCGGGGCTTTGTTTTTGTGGGGGAGGACAGGGTTGAGTTTTTTTGTTGGCTGTTTGCTTGTCAGTACGATGCTTCCTCACCCTTTGTCGTTGGTAGTAAAATCTCAGCCCGACCGCGTGAGCCAGGGGGGCGTTACTCACACCCTCATCACCATCCTGAACGCCGTCCAGAAACGTTTGCGTCTGGCCTCCTTCCTAGGCAGGGATCCTGTCCCCGGCCTTGGAGCTTCCTGTTGACTGTAGGTCGAACCAGCCTTGCCGGAGGGAAACCGAAGCTGAGTTTTGTTGGCGACTATCCCAGTAATGGTGGCTTTGGCTTATGTTTGGGACAGCGTATTCTTATATGATCCTGGCAACATCCCAGTGAGGAAACTGGGACGGGTATCACTATCCTGCTTGACAGCCGCGGAAACTGAGGCTGCAACCCCAAAAGTGGAAGTGTTCATCTGACTCCATGCACTCGTCCCCTTAGCCTTGGAGTCAGTCGCTGAAGAAGGGGGAGGATGCAGAACTGGGGTAAAGATGAGGGTTAGTCAAGGTCTGCACGGGCTGAACCTCGAGGCTCTTCTACTGAAGTCACTTCTGCCCTGCCAGACTCTTAGAGTAATTTCCTCTCTGTGTTTCCTCTTTGGTAGGGTTATCAAAATTATTGTGGGACTGTTGGTTTCCTTTGTCTGTGGTTTTTAGCGAAATCAGAATCGTCTTCAACAAATATGAAATAGCAAAATCGTGTCAGTATTCTGGTATTCTAGGAACTTAAGGAAATGCATATAAGGGTTTGAAAAAATTTTTCTTCAGCTCACTAAGTGAGCCAAAGGTAGGCGTAGGCATTCAGATAAACAAAAAGGTACATATGATAATGTGGAACAGTGCTTTATTTTATTTGGCTATCAAAACTTCATTTGCCATTGGCTGTCTTAAACGTTGGAATTCTCATGTAGATTTATATTCAGCTTTTCTTAAAACTAAAAAACAAATTCCTTGAGCTATTACCTTTCTAAACTTCTAAATAAAATAGAGATAATTTTGTTTTCCTAAACTCTCAGTCTCAAAAAATCAACTCTAAAATACTAGTTCACCCCAGTGGCTTTGAAGATGTTCTGTATGGAGTTTTAAAGGTGGGGAGAAGGTGTCAAAATCTGACCCACAAGTTACAGGTTACGTTGATTTACTGAGTTTGCTTCTCATCACCCTCATTTTGATTTTTATTACCTCATTCCATGTTTTCTTTTTTAGAATATTCATTATCTGGTGCTAAGCTTCAGTCTGTAAATAACCTGGAAAGTTTTCAATCTTCCATTTAATGGTTCACTTGTTTCCAGGAATATTTAAAACTTTTTTTAAAAAATGAGAGAATCTGAAAAGTCTCACTGAGTTTGGTATAGTAGAAATTGCTTTTGGCTGAAAACCTGTTTATCCTGAAATGGTCAAATAAAGAACTACACCCCTGTTTCCCCTCCTGCACAGCACAGAGGTATAGTATGTACATGTGTGACTGAGAGCGATAAGGGATCTAAGTCTTAAAACCCCTTAGGAAAGTCTAGGGGAAAGTTTTATTTTTTTTATTTTTATTTTTTTTTTATTTTTTAAAGCCAGTCAAATTTAGCAGTGGGGGGTTGAATACCAACTTTAGTGACACTAATGTTAATAAGTTCTGATAACCCACTACCATCGGACCAGCCAAGGGGAAAGTTTTAAACAAACAAATTTATGGGATATGTTAGGTCCCTATAAAAGTTAAATGTTTTTTATTTATTTAAGTTTATTAATGCTTAAAATTATCTGGCTGGAAGTTTGAATGATTGGAAGTTGAGCTGCCCCCCCCATCACCCTGGAAACTGATTCTGCCAGGAAATGTTTTTGTTTAGGGTAAACCTCTCCTACAAGCTATCAGTGATAAGCTGCTATTGTTGCTGCTGCTTCCAGTGATGGTGATTTTCTCTTCCTGGTAACAGTAAAAAGCCTGCACTGTCTCTGCTCTCTAACAGCCATCCCCACTCCACCGCAAAATGCCTTCCGCCATTCAAAGAGTGGATCTCCTCAACTCCACTTGGTAACTGAAGTTACCTGTACCACCTTAGTCTCGCCTTCTCCATCTGGCCAAGACTGCTCCTAGGCCCAATTAGAAAGAATATGAGGACCCCTCTAAGCAAAGATTTGGAGGATCAGGCAAAAGGAAGGTGTTTCTCCTTAAGTGTTAGGCTCATTGTGCCAAGCTCAGTGGGGAGGTACCCATCAGTTTCGCAGTGTTCCTGATGTCTTCATTGCCTCAAGGAGTGGGGTTCCTGTATTACAATTTTACTTCCCCTCAACTGGGCAGAGGCTGTTTAAGAGAACCAAGTCAGTGGATATATAAGGACATGTCCTACAATGAATAGACATTGATCAAACGTGTCTTATAATTAATAGATGTCACAAATGACAATCTTACATGAACTTCAGCAAATCTGCCCCATCTTCTTCCTTTTGTTGCTTTCTCTAGCTTTTACCTTTTTCTTGGCTACCTGGTCTACAATCTTAGAGTTTCACCCTGTGCCTAGTATGTTTCCCCATCTCCAGACTATTTTCTGACTATATAGTCTTTGCTGTTGGAATCTACTTTGGTAGATTTCTCTTGGTTTATTTCTCCCACTTCAGTTCTTCCTAGTTCTTTTGCAGTTTGGCCCCAGGCCTGTTATTATCTACCAAAGTCCCTGGCTTCAGCTCTAGCTCATGGTACCTACTCTGCCTATTCCCAGGCAGCCTTACCCACAGCTTCAGACTTTCATACTCTCAACTTGGTTTTTCACTCTGTTCTGTGAAGGCAGATTCTAAGCTGGGTGAGCACTTGGCATCCATCCTCTCACGTGGCCTCTGCTGAGCAAAATACAGCATGTAGTGGATACCTTTTGAGGGTGCCGGTTAAACTTAAGTTCCTCTTCTCTGAAAATTGTTTCTCCACCAATAGCTGGAGTATAGGCCTGTGATCTGAGTACTGCTGATCCCAGGTTCCAGGCTGAAATTTTTAATTTTGAAGGAGTGACGCAAAGGTGACTTAGTGATTATTCACGGTGGCCATGGCAGAGTTGAGAATCAAATGGCAGAAGGTGAATGTCCAGGAGCCCTAGGCGACAAGTATCCAGTGCTGATGGTGCCTGCGTCCTAAGCAGACCATCCTCGTGGCAGGACGTGGACTCTGCCTCACCTTCCTTGCTTCCTGCCTGAACCAGTTCCTCTAATCGTCCTGTTGATTCTCAACTGCCTCCAATAAATTCCTTTTCTGCTTAAATTAAATAGGGACTGTTCTGTTCTTTGCAAATTAGAACCTCTACTTAGTCTCTGCTACTTACTTGTACAGCTAACAGTAAACTCAGATGCTGTGAGGACAGCATCTCCTGCCACATGTACTGAGCGGAGGTGGAGGTGGGATGGGGGAGCCAGTTTTCACAGAGAAGGCTGAAGCAGATAAACAGATGGAAGGGCGATAAGAGATTGTAGGACCCCAATGCTGAGACTCATGTGACTTGTGCCACATGTAAGACTCCAAACCTAGAACAGAGCTGGCAATACAGTCCCTCCTCCTGCCTGCTCATGGCAATTACGGCGTTTAGATCATGGCATAGCATACACCCTTCCTCCCAGAGCATTAGCTCCATCCTCAAAATCCTTGTCAACACAACAATTCAGGCATCAGCCACCCCAAAATTGGAGTTGGAATATGCTGAAAACCATTGATTTCTCTGCCTTATAGGCTTGTAATTTTCTCCTGAGATCTAGATTTGCAATTCCTGCAGCCATTACCAAGTGTTCGGCCTGTACTTTTCTGATATATTAAGCTGATGTGTAATCACAATATGTCAGCGTCTGACATTGAGTTTAAACACCACTAAAATTGCTACCAGATTGCTACTTCCTGGAAATCTTTACAAATGGGTTATGAAAAGTAGAACATAACTTTGCTTGAAGGCAAGAAGTTAAAGTTAGAATGTTTACCTGCGTTGAACATTTAGAAAAAGAAACTATAAATGAGGCTCTTATCTTTAAAGTTAACTGACATCAATTTATGAGACATAAAAGGTTGGTGTTAAGGAACTTTTATTATTAGATGCTTTGCAAGGTAGCGCTATGGTGGGGGGGGAGTTTAAAAAGTGTTTAGAATAAATCCATGCGTGTGAAAACCTGGTTTTTATCTCCTTTCTAAAGCTAAACCTTCTTTGTGCATTTTTAGCTGCATAGATCATCATTTTTCACATTGGTGTCTGAGCACATTTTAAAATCTGACTTACCAGATCTTATTATTTGATGTAAACCATAATGCATTTAATCCTGTAGCAAAATATATTCACTCTTCTTTGACTTGTGTATGAATAGGGCTGTTGATTACTTGAAATAGCTACTTAACTTTTCTTCTTTCTAAGGGAATCACATATGCAACAAATATTTAACACAAGACCTATGCTTTGGCCAGGTGCAGTGGCTCAGAGCTGTAATCCTAGCACTTTGAGAGGTGGAGGTGGGAGGGTGGCTTGAGGCTAGTTCGAGACCAGCCTGAGTAAGAGCAAG